AGCTGTCAGGTGTGTTTGTAGTAAGCTGTCAGGTGTGTTTGTAGTAAGCTGTCAGGTGTGTTTGTAGTAAGCTGTCAGGTGTGTTTGTAGTAAGCTGTCAGGTGTGTTTGTAGTAAGCTGTCAGGTGTGTTTGTAGTAAGCTGTCAGGTGTGTTTGTAGTAAGCTGTCAGGTGTGTTTGTAGTAAGCTGTCAGGTGTGTTTGTAGTAAGCTGTCAGGTGTGTTTGTAGTAAGCTGTCAGGTGTGTTTGTAGTAAGCTGTCAGGTGTGTTTGTAGTAAGCTGTCAGGTGTGTTTGTAGTAAGCTGTCAGGTGTGTTTGTAGTAAGCTGTCAGGTGTGTTTGTAGTAAGCTGTCAGGTGTGTTTGTAGTAAGCTGTCAGGTGTGTTTGTAGTAAGCTGTCAGGTGTGTTTGTAGTAAGCTGTCAGGTGTGTTTGTAGTAAGCTGTCAGGTGTGTTTGTAGTAAGCTGTCAGGTGTGTTTGTAGTAAGCTGTCAGGTGTGTTTGTAGTAAGCTGTCAGGTGTGTTTGTAGTAAGCTGTCAGGTGTGTTTGTAGTAAGCTGTCAGGTGTGTTTGTAGTAAGCTGTCAGGTGTGTTTGTAGTAAGCTGTCAGGTGTGTTTGTAGTAAGCTGTCAGGTGTGTTTGTAGTAAGCTGTCAGGTGTGTTTGTAGTAAGCTGTCAGGTGTGTTTGTAGTAAGCTGTCAGGTGTGTTTGTAGTAAGCTGTCAGGTGTGTTTGTAGTAAGCTGTCAGGTGTGTTTGTAGTAAGCTGTCAGGTGTGTTTGTAGTAAGCTGTCAGGTGTGTTTGTAGTAAGCTGTCAGGTGTGTTTGTAGTAAGCTGTCAGGTGTGTTTGTAGTAAGCTGTCAGGTGTGTTTGTAGTAAGCTGTCAGGTGTGTTTTTTGTAGTAAGCTGTCGGGTGTGTTTGTAGTAAGCTGTCAGGTGTGTTTGGAGTAAGCTGTCAGGCGCGTTTGTAGTAAGCTGTCAGGTGCGTTTGTAGTAAGCTGTCAGGTGTGTTTGTAGTAAGCTGTCAGGTGTGTTTGGAGTAGAATCTGTCAGGTGTGTTTGTAGTAAGCTGTCAGGTGTATTTGTAGTAAGCTGTCAGGTGTATTTGTAGTAAGCTGTCAGGTGCGTTTGTAGTAAGCTGTCAGGTGTCTTTGTAGTAAGCTGTCAGGCGTGTTTGTAGTAGACGCTGTCAGGTGTGTTTGTAGTAAGCTGTCAGGTGCGTTTGGTAGGTTCATATTCAGAACCATCAGTATTCCTGATACCAATGAAGAACCTCCAAAGTAATGGACACAGTGTGTTTGTAGTAAGCTGTCAGGTGTGTTTTTTGTAGTAAGCTGTCGGGTGTTTTTGTAGTAAGCTGTCAGGTGTGTTTGGAGTAGAAGGTGTCAGGTGTGTTTGTAGTAAGCTGTCAGGTGTATTTGTAGTAAGCTGTCAGGTGTATTTGTAGTAAGCTGTCAGGTGTATTTGTAGTAAGCTGTCAGGTGTGTTTGGAGTAGAAGCTGTTATGTGTGTTTGTAGTAAGCTGTCAGGTGTGTTTTTTGTAGTAAGCTGTCGGGGGTGTTTGTAGTAAGCTGTCAGGGGTGTTTGGAGTAGAAGCTGTCAGGTGTGTTTGTAGTAAGCTGTCTGGTGTGTTTGTAGTAAGCTGTTAGGTGTGTTTGGAGTAGAAGCTGTCAGGTGTGCTTGCAGTAATCTGTCAGGTGTGTTTGTAGTAAGCTGTCAGGTGTATTTGTAGTAAGCTGTCAGGTGTATTTGTAGTAAGCTGTCAGGCGGGTTTGTAGTAAGCTGTTAGGTGTGTTTGTAGTAAGCTGTTAGGTGTGTTTGAAGTATGCTGTCAGGAGTGTTTGTAGTAAGCTGTCAGGTGTGTTTGGAGTAGAAGGTGTCAGGTGTGTTTGTAGTAAGCTGTCAGGTGCGTTTGTAGTAAGCTGTCAGGTGTCTTTGTAGTAAGCTGTCAGGCGTGTTTGTAGTAGACGCTGTCAGGTGTGTTTGTAGTAAGCTGTCAGGGGTGTTTGGAGTAGAAGCTGTCAGGTGTGTTTGTAGTAATCTGTCAGGTGTGTTTGGAGTAAGCTGTCAGGTGTGTTTGTAGTAAGCTGGCAGGTGTGTTTGTAGTAAGCTGTCAGGTGTGCTTGTAGTAAGCTGTCAGGGGTGTTTGTAGTAAGCTGTAAGGTGTGTTTGTAGTAAGCTGTCAGGTGCGTTTGGTAGGTTCATATTCAGAACCATCAGTATTCCTGATACCAATGAAGAACCTCCAAAGTAATGGACACAGTGTGTTTGTAGTAAGCTGTCAGGTGTGTTTTTTGTAGTAAGCTGTCGGGTGTTTTTGTAGTAAGCTGTCAGGTGTGTTTGGAGTAGAATCTGTCAGGTGTGTTTGTAGTAAGCTGTCAAGCGTGTTTGTAGTAGAAGCTGTCAGGTGTGTTTGTAGTAAGCTGTCCGGTGTGTTTGTAGTAAGCTGTCAGGTGTGTTTTTTGTAGTAAGCTGTCGGGGGTGTTTGTAGTAAGCTGTCAGGGGTGTTTGGAGTGGAAGCTGTCAGGTGTGTTTGTAGTAAGCTGTTAGGTGCGTTTGAAGTAAGCTGTCAGGTGTGTTTGTAATAAGCTGTCAGGTGTGTTTGTAGTAAGCTGTTAGGTGTGTTTGAAGTATGCTGTCAGGTGTGTTTGTAGTAAGCTGTCAGGTGTGTTTGGTAGGTTCATATTCAGAACCATCAGTATTCCTGATACCAATGAAGAACCTCCAAAGTAATGGACACAGTTCAATTACTGGGATATCATGATTTATTATAATTAGCCGACCATCATCATCTGGAGGTCATCTTGGATTTTGACATTTCAAGAATATAGTCACTATTTTCCAGAAAGTACTTAACAGTTCTTTCTCCTATTGCAATGATCGGTTCTGTTTCTTTTACTTTAAATAATGTAAATCTTCTTCTTCAGTAACAAAGGTCCAGGGTCCTGATATTTTCCTAGTAGGTTCCTGTGATGGAGTGCTAATTCAAGCAACATATTCTAAAGAACTATAAGGTCTAGCGCCATTATACTTTGGTATGTTATATAGACCAGCAATGTACAATCAATGTTTTTCTCTAAATTTTGTGTTAAAGTGAATTTATTGTTAACTTTGAGAGTTGGCAAGTGTAAAATGTCAACATGGACTTTGGTGAGTAAATATCTACAAGAAGCCTCTTTTTCAGTTCCATTATATAAAGACCCCGGGTCCTGATAGTCGGCCAGTAGTACTACTGTGCTATAAAGTTCTCTCATATATATGACCTTAGCCTACTTTCAAGGTCATAAGGGACATATATGTCAATAATCAATTAGCCCAGGGTCAGTATAAGGCTGGCAGATTGCATGATTTACCAGTAAGTGAGATCAAGTCTGTTCAAATGAATTACCTTGACCTACTTATCAGTCAGTTTTCCCAATTAATATATTGTGCAGAAGGATTGTAAAGTGTTTTTCTGTGGATTTCATCGACTCTAAAATAATATTTGGCCTGTATTTATAAGCAAATGTAAACTTTGATTATCTATATCCAGGTAAAGAGTGATATTATATACAATCCACTTTAAAGGTCACAGTTTTGTTTGCAAACAGTACTGACAAACAGTTGATTGGTAGTTTAGTTGTAATAAGGCCCATTTGGTCTAAAAAATATAATCCTGTGAATGTCACACAATCTGTAGTCTAGACATTTTACTTATAATCCTGGGAATGTCACACAATCTGTAGGCTAGACATTTTACTTATAATCCTGGGAATCTCACACAATCTGTAGTCCATACCTTTTACTTATAATCCTGTGAATGTCACACAATCTCTAGTCTAGACATTTTACTTATAATCCTTTGAATGTCACACAATCTGTAGTCTAGACATTTTACTTATAATCCCGTGAATGTCACACAATCTGTAGTCTAGACACTTTACTAATAATCGTGGGAATGTCACACAATCTGTAGTCTAGACATTTTACTTATAATCCTGTGAATGTCTCACAATCTGTAGTTGAATTGTAATCATGTGAGTTTCCTTTGTCTCTGATTTCCATGTCATTGTAACTAGATATACTAGTTGTTTGGTTACAGGAGTCACATACTGCTGTACTGTAGTAGTTTGACTTTGCTGGCATACCCAAACACTACCCACAGGACATCCTCCCTGTCTAAACCTACTGCCAGTGTATAGTCTGTGTCTGTGTGTATGACCCTGAGGAACTCACCATCTCCACTGATGAGTAGGACCCTGTCGTTGTTACAGTCCCCTATGATCAGGTTCCCCACACTGTCATACACCACACCACAGGGGTAAAATGGTTTACCTCCTGTTTGTGGTGTTGGTTTATATGTACTGGGGATGTCACCTCTATATACAAACAGCTCCTTGAAATCAGTGTCCATCACAACAACATGTCCCTTTCCATCACCACCATGACTTTCACGACTGAAATCAGTGACTGCCACATTGTGAGTGACAGGACACTCTGAGATCCTGTGTGGTGAACAAACTAATGGTTTCTCAGTCCCTTTAACCATAGTAGTAAACCACACTAATGGATTCCCAGTCCCTATAGCCATAGAAGTACACACCATTTTACCATCTGTGGTAAATTTGGAGATGTGTTTGGTCATCCCTACAATGACATGGTTACTGGCTGTAATACATATACTGAAGGGTTCCTCCTTGGTACTGAATCTGTCTGTCAGTCGTCCTGATACCAGCTCCGTGATGTTGTTATCTCTGTCACAGAGCCACAGTGTGTGTGTGGTGGGTGACAGACTGATGTCACTCATCATGGCATTATGATTGACCACCTGTATTACTTTACCGTTCCTGTCCAGGAGAGTTAATGTTTTACAGTGATTGGTCCACACCTGACCATCAGTGGTGGGACATATAGAATCAATGTTACACAGAGACTTCCACTCCTCCACTACCTTGGTCTGTGGCAGTAGTTTGTATGTTGTCACTGCTTTCTTCACTTTTGCTCCTGACTGTTGTTGTTGTGTAGAGGGTTGTCCCAGATCATCAGATGGTGAGACTGACCGATCCTGGTCAGTTAAAGTTTGACCTTGACCTGAGGTGAAAACTTTTCCCCAGGCTTCTTTCAAGTGATCTTGAGGATTTTCATTTGTAGTGAAGTTGGCAGTACCCAGGACAGGTTTTACAGGGAAACTGTGTGTAGGAGAATGGATCTCACAAAATGTATCATAAATCTGTATGTGTGAACCACGCTGGAGAGCTGCTTTACATTCATGAATTTGTTGTTTGAGTTGTTTCTCGTACATCTCGAGGTCCTGTTTGTATTTCTTTATCAGCTTGGTATTATCCTCTTCCATTTTGTGGTAAAGAGAGAGTGTCTGTGCTGTGAGCATGTCCAGCTCTTGTTTTAATTTTTCTGTTTGCATTTTTAACTTTTGTGACAGCTTCTCAAAAGTACTGGTGTTGTCTTTAAGGAGCGTATCAGTAGAGTTGATGTATTTCCCAAGTTGCACAAGGTCATGGTTTTCTGTTCTGTCTATAAAGTTTTTAATGTCTGGTTCTTCCTGATGAGTGATTTCACTTAGCTCACAAACTGTATGGGTTTTGTGAATAGAAAAAAGGCATTTTAGACAAACCAGTTCCTGACATTTTTCACAATACAAGTCTAGCTGTCTCCCCTTGTGGTGAATACATGTCGTTTGACCTTTAATACGGATTGGTATTTGGCTTATAGGGGTTGCCATTCTGATGAAAAGCTAAAGTATTTGTTGAAATCTTTAAGATGATTGTTTTTCTTGTATAGAAATATTGTTATCAAAAACACTCACAAATATGAGTTTGCAATGTAAAAGAAATGGAAACTTAACTTGACTGTCCCATCCAGTAGTATATGTTTGTTAAACTTAATAGTAATGTAAAACACTATAGAATAACCACCTCATGATCACTGATGTGACAGGGTTACTGTGATGATGGATCCAGGTTTACCGTTCCACACTTCAGAAGGTTCACTTACATTGTCTATAGTTATCCAGCCCTGGGATTCACAATCACATGATGAACTTCCTCTAGCTTTGCTGATAAATCTGTCACTTTCCTGCGGTTATTATAAAGGTTTGATCAAAACTTTAAGTCAAATGCTGAATTCGACAATGCTGCTGACTAATTCAGTAATATCAACAAATTTCTGCTCTGGATATGCCCATCACTGCGGCAAAATCAACAAATTTCTGCTCTAGATATGCCCATCACTGCGGCAATGCGTAGATATACCTGTTTAGACCTGCAGTTGTACATAGTAAATAACTTCCCTGTGGAGCGACAGCTAACCGCCAGACTTACCTTGATAATAAAGACATAGATAGTGAAGTAGGTCAATGTAGATTGTGTTTAACCCTTTGCCACATACAAGCCTATACAAAACAGCACTGTACATCAACAAAGGAAATGTACAATGTTTGTTGTGAACATTGTTACAGCCTCTACCGTTTGAGTGCAGCATCTCAATGCCACTTATTGTAGAATTGTACAGTGATGGAGCGTTCTCTTTTAAATTTATTTTTTAAGCCGATCTATTTACTTTTGACAGATAATTTCGTGGTTTTTTTTATAGAATTAATCAAAGTTTACTTAGGTGCATTTTTCACAAAAATTTGACCAAAATTGAAACTTCAAAAATCAAATTTAAAACTTGCATACTTAAAATTTGTTAATAAAATAAATAGTATCTATCTTATAATATTTCTGTTGTTTTCATTATTTGTTTCTGAGCAGTTAATTACACATAAAAAAGACCTTGGCAGTCAATTGTTCACAAATACACCCCCCCACATACCAAAAATAGGAGTTTTATTTCTGGTTCTTGTTGATTTTAAATCCCGTTTTATATACCCTCCTACACTGTAGGAATTACCTCCTTGCCCCATATATATAACTTTTTATTTTGTAATTACATTTTACTGTATTCTATTCTGAAGATTTTTCTACAGTTCTGTAAGTATTATGCTTGCAGCACCCTAGGTGGGTGGAGATCCCTTTTTTCTTGCTGTATCTTTGGTGGGTGGTATATTTAGCTCACCTGGCACGCTTAATAACCGAAAGGCCTAGGGTGATGATATTTGGCCAGAAGCAAACTGGGATAAAGGGCTACCAAGTTTGTTCAAATAAATGACCTTCATCTATTTTCAAGGTCACAGGGGTCAAATATATTAAAACTTTAAACAACTTCTTCTCAATAACCAAACTGCCCAGGGAGATGATATTTGGTCAGTAGCATGCTAGGGTGAAGGGCTACCAAGTTTGTTCAAATGAATGACCTTCAATTATATTCAAGGTCACAGGGGTCAATTGTCTTAAAAAACCTTTAAATAACTTCTTCTCAATAACCAAAATGCCCAGGGTGATGATATTTGGCCAGTAGC